CTAAAGTTGGCACAATCCTTCTCCGACCAATATTTGTCAACTTTTGCCTTCATCTTCATACCCATCCTAACTATGTCATCATCTGTGCTATTCATCATTTTCTCAACATGATAGAATACCCTTCCAAACTCTCTCAAGAATCGGTGAGTAGTCACAATAGAAGTAGTGGATGCAATCAAAGTCGAATCATGAAAGAATTTCAAATACTTCATCAAAACTTTTGCATTCTTCCAATCTTCATGTTGAGGGACACCAATTTCTTGATTCTTGTACCTCTTTTCCTTGAGCTCGGGTCTGTAATCCTTATCCTTCCTCTCAAGACTAGAGAATGCATCTTCAAACAACACAGCAGCTTCAAGCATGTAGTAGGTGGAATTCCACCTTGTAGTCACATCTAGACTCAACATCTTCTTGGAGTCAATGTTGTGAAATTCCACACACTCCTTGAACTTTGCCAATCTAGATGGTGATGATCTAACCCATCTCACAGCCTCTCTCACCCTCCTTATTGACATGCCCATCTCTTCTAAACCATCGCTCACAATCAAATTCACTATATGAGCAATACACCTCATATGAAGGTACTTCCCACCAACTATATTAGTACCCCATTCTTCAAGTCGATCTCTCAAATGAAGAAGTTCCGTGTCATTTGCACTTGCATTGTCAACTGTGACTGTGAAAATATTTTTCAAACCCCAATGCTCCAAACAATCGGCTATTGCATCATCTAGATCAATCCCCTTATGACTTGTAATCTTGCAAAAACTTATCACCTTCTTGTACAACTTCCAATCCTTCCAAACAAAATGTGCAGTGATGCATATATAGTTGAAATTTTGACAAGAAGTCCAACTATCGGTGGTTATGGACACCCTTCCTCCACACTTGATGTTGAAGTAATCTCTCAACTTTCCCTTCTGTTCAAGAAACAATCTAAAACAATCTTCTCTAATACTTCTTCTGCTTGGAATCTTAAACATCGGACAAGCACGTGCCATGTAGCGCTTAAACCCTTCTTTCTCCACGCTCCTAAAAGGCATTTCATCCAGAGTTATCATTTCAACTAACCCAGCTCTAATAAATACTTGATCAAATTTACAAGTCCCCAAAACTCCTTGCCCTTCAACAGAAGTTGGATTGAGTTCTAGATTCAACTGCTTCCCCTTTTCTTTTTGTTTCTTTAAGCACCTTTGAGTATGCCTACCCAAAGAACTTGTACCATTTCCCGAGGGATCCCCAGCCAGTGACTTTCCACAATAATGACACCTTGCCTTTTTCTTGCCTTTAGCATCTTTGTGACAATCATAATGCTGCCATACTGGTGACCTTAACACATACTCCCTATTGGTCTTCTCCATTTCAGGTGTTGTTGTGGTGTTGGTAGCTGCTGGTCGTTCTTGTTCTTGAGTGGCAGCGGCTTGAATATTAACATTTCCACTATTATTCCCACTTTCAACAGCTGCCTTTGAAGCTTGTGGTTGTGGTCGCTTCTTACTAGGAAGAGGATGCAAATTATCATCTCCTCTTGATGTCGGTATTCGCTTCTTAGTACCCTGCACAAATCAATTCAATCCATTGAAGAACAAACTAAACTAATCGATAATAAACTCATCCAGCCTTGGTATATCACATTCCACCATTCAAATCATCACTAATAAACTAAGACTACTCATTAATAAACTAAAACTACTTACCCAGCTGCTGCTCCCTTCCATTTTTTCTGAATTCGGCAGCTGTTCCCCAAAAGTCGACCGACAGCGACGAGATTGGACGGAGGGCGACGGACGGCGACGAGATTGGACGGAGGGTAACGAGCGTCGCGTTGTCACTGGTCGGCGCGGAGGCAGATCACCGCTGGGTCGGCGCGGAGGCGGGTGGGCGCTGGGTCAGCGCAGAGGCGGGTCTTCGCTGGGTCGGCGCGGAGGCGGGACGCGAGGCGGCAGGGTGCGGGCGGCGGGCGATAGGCTGCTAGCGGCGTCTGCTTTGTTCGGCGGCTGCGTCTCTGCTTTGCTTTGTTCGGCGGCCAAAGAAGAAGATGGAGTTGAGACTCTCACGAGGACGACCTGGACGAGAGGCAGCGGCTGCTTCTCAAACTCTCAATCTGCAACCAGCAAAGAGAAAACTCTACAAACTAACAAAAGTGTAAATGGGCTCTTATGGGCCGCCGAGTAGTAGGTTTGTTTAGGCCCTTATGGGCTTTGTCTTTGGGTTAGAATTGCCTCTGGTCTGGTCTGTTTTTACTCATCCGGTCTTCCGGTTTTTACACGGTTTTAACCCGGACGGGATTGGTCCGGGTTTTTTGCTAATTCTAAGACCAAAGACGGGATTGGATTGTTTTACATCCGGTCTCGGTCTTAAAATGGTCCGGGTTTTACGGTCCGGTTTCCGGTTTTCCATCTGGTCTCGGTCCAAATTGCCAGCCCTACGACCAGGTCTGGATCTGGGACAACAACCTCACTGTTGGGGACGGTTCCCTATGGAAACTTTTGTTTTCACCGCTTTGTTTTCTTCTGCTGGTGGTCTGCTAGGTGCCCTACCAGGGGTGGCTATATGGTCCGGTCCGGTTAAATTCGCCCGAATTGATCCGAATTCGGTCTGGTCTTTTCGAGAATATAAGGACCAAAGATTGGATTGGATACAGTCCGGTCTTGATCCGATCCAGTCCAAATTTGGTCTTGATTTTAGATTGAGCTTGTGGGAGTTTGAGTGGACTAAGAGGGGATTTGAGTGTCCTAAGGTATGAAAGGGTGAGGAGGTTAAATTTTGGGTGTTGGGCTCTCTTATCCGGTTTTCGGTACGATCCCAAACGATTTTTTTTACCTCAAATATAGGCCCGAAGATTGAATTGGATTGTTTGCTATCCGGTCCCAGTCCGGATTATATGGTCCGATTTCAGGTAAAACCAAAATGTCTGGACCAAATAGCCAACCCTACTACCAGATGGGCTTCTCTCATAGGTGGTACGTGCGGTTGTCACATTAATCATGTCACTAGGGACAGTATTTATCCTTCTTATCCCCACGAATCATAAGTATTTATCCTAACACACAGAAGGTAAGCGGTAAGTTGGTTTTTTGAGTATTTATTTACTTATTGCTTTTAATTCATTTTTTATTATTATTCAGGAATTTCAGTCCTACGTGTCACTTTGTGATAATGGGACCTACTAAATTTGGGGTCCACCTACAATCAGAAAACGGAACTAGCTTGTATTTAGGGGGATCATGCCCCGCTAACATCATATATTCAAATAAAACGTGACTATAAATCATAAGAAATTAGGGTAGCGTAATGGTTGCAGAATAAGTCTACTCTCAATATTGAGAGAAATGTGAAGGGTTGGAAGGCCAACTTCACTATCTTTTTAAATTTTTTGTTAAATTATCAGCCTCAAACATTTTTTTATAAATTTTCTTCTTGAATTTTTAATTAAATTCTTTGAAATTACTTGTTCAATGTTAATTATCCCCTCTCTCTTTTTGTTATTTAATTTCTTTAAAAATATATCATGTTTCTATTTATAAATAGTCAAATATTGATCACTATATTTACGGATGGACTTAGTTTACAATTTGAATTTATGAGAATTTTTTTTTAATTATCAGAGTGATAAGTATAGGAGACTATGAAAGACATGATTCTCTTATAAATGATTTCATATGTATAGAGATAAGATTTTTTAATTTTTTTACGAAATTTTAAGTGGATTTTATATAAAATTTTTGTCAAGTTCTTTTTTTAAGAAATTTTAAGTGGATGCTATATAATTTTTTTAGTCATTTTAAATGTGATATGTATATGTTGTTAAAAGTGTATTGGAATTTATTTTTTGGCCCTCCTTAATTAAAAATCCTGGTTCCGTCCCTGCCTGCAATCAATTTTGATGCCAATGGGGTTTCGTCACAGTAGCCCTATACCTCCGAGAACACCAATGGGACTCGCTTGGATCGAACCTGAGATCTGCAACTCCCAAGCCTTCACTGATGCGACAACTTTACCGTTAGGCTATCTTACGTTTGGTTTTGATTTTAATCAATGATTGAAATCCCGTACCAAAGGTTGTATCGGAAAAGTTAGCGGTAGGGTAATTTATGCTTTTTTTTTTTTGACAAAAAGGTAATTTATGCTGAAACCGTGGTTTAACCTTGGTTCAACCATATCATACCGTTAAATACTGCCTATCGGTTTCTCTTCAAGTAATAGATTTTTTTGGTCGAACTACCGGTACCGTACAACATTTCAATCTTTGCTTTTAATTCATTAGGTGACATGTGCACGGCTTGCTTTCTTTTGGTCTTATCCTAACACAGAGAAGGTAAGCGGTAAGTTGGCTTTTGAGTATTTATTTATTTACTTATTGCTTTAATTAATTAGGCTACTTTGGATGTCGATGAATAAGCATTTATATTTGGAAAACCCTAAAATGCTCTCAACTCCCTCCGCCGGAGAGAATTCATCGACCATAGTTCCAGAGCTGACGGGAAGACCTCCGGATCCTCCTTCGCTCACCACTCAAGATCCAGGCCCCATCCAGGCTCTATCCTCCAAGAACTCCCCCAGTCAACCTCAATCAATGAACTTTAGAGTGGCCTTCACCGGAGCTTCAACGGCAAGCCCATCCAAAGCAACTCAGTGGACCTTTGTCGGAACCAACGATCTCGAACCATCATCCTTCCAAGGAGAGCCGGCGTTAAAGATTTCCCCGGCGCTCAAGGAAAGGCTTTGCCAGCCATGAAAAAAAAACCTTGATTGTCCGCCTTTTGGGTAAATCAGTTTCTTACTCTTATCTCTGTTCGCAGCTCAGGTTGAATTGGCGACCTGTGGGATCTCTAGATATAATGGATCTTAACAATGATACATTCCTGGCTACTTTTGGGAACGATCAAGACTATCTTAGAGCTCTCACGTGAAAGCCATGGGTGATCCTCGATCACTATCTGATGGTGCACCAATGGTCTCCAACCTTTCGCACATCCGACAAACCACATAGATCTGTGATGGCTTGGGTTCAGCTGCCGGAGCTTCCGGTACAATTCTATCACAGAGAAGTTTTGTTTGCGCTGGGGAATCTCATTGGAAGAACAATCAGGCTAGATTATCATACAGAGCAGCTGGAAAGGGGGAAATTTGCTAGATTAGCAGTGGAACTAGACCTCTCAAAGTCCCTACCTACAAGAATATTTCTCGACAACTTCTGGCAGGGAATTCTATACGAAATCTTCAAACAATTTGTTATAGTTGTGGGCGGACTGGTCACGACGAGGATGCTTGTTCGCTCAAGAAATAAGAAACCTCTTTGGCTTTGATAACTCTCTCAGGTGCTGACTCTTCAGTGGCGGAACAATCCAGCTCGCCGGAGCCTCCGGCTGGCTTCGGACCTTGGATGCAGGTGACGCGCCGATCCCGCAAACAGATTAGGAAAGGCAGAATTGGGCAAGGGTCAACAGAAGAAATTTCCCAAATGGCAAGAGCAGAAAGCGGCAAGATATCAGTACCAACAAAAGGGAAACAGGAATCAATCATGATCAAGGGGAAACAGAATGCGGGAAGGGTAACGGAGATGACGAAGGGAAAGGAAAAATTGGATCAAAAGCAGGGACAACAAAAGGGGTAAGCGAGCAAACAAAAAGGAAAGGTGCTTATGGGGGAAACTATCGCCAACGGTAATAAAAAGGAGGGAACAACTCAAGAATGGCGAGCTGTTACGGGCAAAGCTACAAACCGGATAAACAACATTCAGGCCCAGGGTGCAAGCCCAATGAACATCTCAGACCCATCCTCATCTGACCCACCCAAGACAGATACTATGCAAACTGAGGAAACTCGTACAGACCAAACCCACCAAGAAATAGGAGAAGTACCACAACAATTTCATATCGTTCATGCCCAAAATAATACCACCATCACAGTAGTCCAAGTCCTGCCACTGAAGACAGCAGGCAAATAAAATCGAGACCCCAATCTGGAAGGAACATCGATCAGACAACACTACAACAAACAAAGGCAAAATCGCAGCCCTAACCAAGAGAAGCAGCGGGTCTACAATCTCAGAGGCACCAAGAAACCCCTCCAAATTCAAAACTCGGTCAAGAAGGATTTGCATCAGGCTCTCAGGCACTCACCCTTTCCAGTCACGATCAAAACGGTGGAGGAGTGCTTCGCCAATACAAAAAGGAAAATAGGAGAACCCATTACGACTCCAACGACGAAGAAGGGCGACATTGCAATGACCGAGAACCTCAACTCGGAGATTGGAGCAAGTGGCGCGAATCAATCGAGCAATGAAGCTGAATTGCCCTCGAACTAAGCCCTTTCTAGACCAAGCGCTTTTTCTTTTGCGTTTTGTGATTTTCTGACTCACTCCTACTGTCACTGTAGAAATTGGCCAAGTGTAACCACTTCCTAAAGCATAGTATAGCGGGTTTGGGTTTTAATGTCAACCCGGGTCCTAGATTTGATGACTACTCAGTGAATTCTTATTATCTAGCAGTGAAACTTTAGTGCAAGTCCAAATTAACAAACAAACAAAGCAAGTTAAACGGTTGTTTTCAAGTCGAGAGAGGTCACCTGGATATGGTTCCCCCTAGACTGCAGTTAAGCCGGATTGCAATTTACCAAGTTCAGTTTTCATGAAAGTTATACTGCGGAAGGTTCTTAAACAGTCTGAAGTCTCGACTAAATGTCTCCAGACCCTCTAAATCTGAGTCTCCAGCGGGCGACTAACTTCCACCGAAGTAAACAGATTGAGGCCCTAACGAACCAAACCTCCACTACCGAATTGAATTCGGTACAGAATAGTGAATTGGCTCCTCAACTAAAGTCGCCAATTCACTACCTTCAATTAAGGGTGCTCTATCAACCTAGGCAGATATTCTCATTCTAGGTTAAAGCAGAAACAACAGGAATTTGATCAGGATTCAAGTCATTCAATCATTCAAGCCTCAATCGAATATAATCAACTCATAAAATTTGTACTTGGGTTCATACAATCAGACATAACATACAAATCTAGGGTTCTCCATACCCAAATGAACGGGGAAACTACTCCATGGAGAGAGAAGCAAAAGCATATTCAGATGCGGAAATCATACTGTGAAGGATGATTTTCTGCTCCTGGTCGTCGATCGGCACTTCTCCAAGCGCAAGTCGGGCTCCAATGGTGATGAAGATCAAGCTATGGCACTTGGGAACTCTGGTTCATCGCTTTCTCTCTCTAGGAATCGCTCTGTCTCTCTAAAACTCGGAACCCTTGATTTTTAGCCTTCTTTTCCTTTAAAACTGCTGCCTATCGCGATACCCGGTCGGGTATTTTGGGTCTCGACCGGGTATAATTGAAACGCGTCGTTTTGCCTCAGGAGAAATCCCCGGTCATGGCCAATAATCCCCAACCGGGGATTTTCGCCTCCTGCCCGGGACCCTTTCTGTTTCTCGGCGACGCCCAAAACAATAAATACCCGGTCGGGTATTTGAGCCCATGACCTGGTATTTTCCTCCTGCAGCACACTTCGACCCAACTTCGCTCCTTTCTATCCAAAACTCTTTTCTTCGATTCGATTCCAACGCCGAGCCCTGAAATATGACATAAACGCACAACCTCGCGTGAAATCGGCTTAAAGCACGAGAATCAACCTCTCAAACGGCTCAAGAATAAGGGTGAAAACATGTGCAATTATCGGTCTATCATTTTCGCAGTTCGTTTTCTCTTTAATCTTCTCATGATTAGTTATCCCAAATTTAAAGTTTTAGCCTGGAACGTGTGTGGTGCAGGAAGCAGGAAATTCATAAGAGCCATAAAGCTTCTTCTGCAGACTCATCAACCTGATTTCTTGATCATCTTTGAACCCCAAATCAGCGGAGATAGAGCCACGTAGGTCTACAGCAAACTAGGCTTCAATCAAGTTTTGTTGATCGATGCTGATGGCAGGGCGGGAGGAATCTGGCTAGCTTGGAAGTCGGAAGACCATTGTGTTACTCTCATCAACGCTAGTAAGCAGCACGTGACTGTCATGGTTTCCAGGGCAGGTCAGCAAGATTGGATTCTAACAGGAATTTATGAAAGTCCCCAGTACAAATATCACCAAGCCCTTTAGAATCAGATTATCGATACTAGCAAGAGGATTACTCTGCCTTGGCTCCTCACCAGCGACTTCAATGCGTATGGTTCACCAGAAGAAAAGTCAGGACAAACCTCTTCAGCAACCATCCACAGGTGTCAGAGATTCACTAGTTGGGTGCAGGAAGCTAAGCTTATGGACTTGGGTTATTCGGGGTCTCGATTCACCTGGTTTAGGGGTACAACTGCAGCGACTCATAAGGCCAACCGTATCGACCGATCTCTGTGCAACGACATCTGGAATGAGACCTTCCCGGAGACACCGGTACTCCACCTCCCAAAGTTACACTCGGATCACTTACCCATTCTTACAACTAATATGGGCTCCACTCTCAGCGGGTAACGATAAACCTTTTCGGTTCGAGGCATCCTGGATACTGCATAAAGACTTCTCGAAGTTTATGGAAGAAGCTTGGAATAAAAAGATCACTTTCCAGCAGGCTATTAAGGAGGTTACTCAGAAGCTAGCTATTTGGAGCAATGAAGTCTTTGGATCATTACACAAAAGGAAAAGAAGGATCTCAGCTAGGCTGCAAGGCATTCAAAACAGAATCGCTAATGGAGTCAACTCGGGGCTTTTGAAATTGCAAGTCAAACTCGAAGCTGAACTTGATGACCTTCTAATTCAAGAGGAGCTCTTCTGGTACCAAAGATCGAAGGAAAAATGGGTCAAGCTAGGTGAGCAGAATACTTCTTATTTTCATCAGCAAGCCACTAGAAGAAGAAGAAGGAAAATTCTGACTCTCAAGGATCATAACGGGAACTGGATTGATGATCCAGTCCAGCTAGAAGAGATGTTGGAGTTTTACACTACCCTTTACACGCAAGACATCCAGCAGTATGAAGATCTTATGCCAAAGAACATATTTCCTAGGCTATCTCAAAGAGACTTGCTTCAACTACTTAGACCTTTTGACATCACCGACTTCCACAAAGCTATCTTCGGCATGAAACCGTATTCTGCTCTTGGACCAGACGAGTATCAAGCGATCTTTTATCAAAGTTCATGGTCTCAAACAGGGAAGAAGCTTTCAGATATGGGGATCCATTTTTTCGAAACAGGAGAACTACCATCTGAGCTCACAAATTCTAATATGGTTCTCATTCCGAAGGTGGATCACCCTGAATCAGTAGCTCAGTTCAGGCCTATTTGTCTTAATAATGTGGCCTTGAAGGCCATTACCAAGGCTATAGCAAATCGATTCAAGCCGGTCATGCCAAAGTGGACCTCAGAAATTCAAAGCGGCTTCATTAAGGGAAGACAAACTAGCGACAACATTGTAATCCTCCAGGAGGTTATCCATTCCCTGCGTAAGAAGAAGAGCAAAACAGGAGGTCTAATTATCAAAGTAGACCTTGATAAAGCTTACGACAGGCTTCGATGGGACTTCATTCGGTACACTATGAGGGAAGTGGGGCTGCCAAGTACGTGGATCTCTCGCATCATGACGTGCGTGGAAAGCAACAAAGTAACGATAAACTGGAATAGAAAGCAAACGACTCCAATTACTCCGACGAGAGGAGTCAGACAGGGAGATCCCTTATCCTCTTTCCTGTTTGTTATTTATATGGAAAGATTATCCCATTGTATTAATCAAGCAATAGAGGGAAAGCTTTGGAAACCACTTACCCTTTCGAAAGATGGACCAAAGCTCTCCCATCTATTTTTCGCTGATGATCTTATTTTGTTCGCAGCAGAAGAATGGAGACAAATTAATGTCATTCGCAAATGTCTAGAGGATTTCTGCAACAGTTCAGTCCAAAAAGTCAGCCTCAGCAAATCAGTGATGTGGATAGCGCCTTGCATTCCGAGGAGTAAAGCTCAGCAGCTTAGCAATCGAGCGGGCATTCCACTCACTTCAGACCTGGGGAGATATCTGGGTATCAATGCTATCTCGGGAAGGGTTCAAGAGAATCGCTATCATGATATGAAAATCCAAATTCACAAAAAACTAGCCTCTTGGAAAACTCGACATCTGTCGCTAGCAGCGCGAGTAACTTTGGTGAAATCCCTAGCCTCTTCCATGGTCATTTATTCTATGTTTACCGAGCTACTACCTGTTTCTGTTTGCAATTCTTTTGACAGGATAAACAGGCGGTTCATATGGGGAGAGGAAGACGAGAAGAACAAATTCCATCCTATTAGATGGGATCACATCGCCTTACCGCGTAGTCAGGGAGGAGCGGGGGTTA